CTTTCCCTAAATACTTTATCCAAAGATATTTTTCCTAATTCAGATCTCATTGTAGTTTGAGCTAACTGAACTACAGCAAATTCAGGATCATCAACACCATATGAAGTCAAAAATGGATTAATTATTCTTAAGTATAATACACCATCAATATTTATTGTTACATTATCTATAAAAAAATAGTATACTTAATACTGCATTTATGTTTATAATATTTAAATATATTCAATAATATTCATAATGTACCTAAAGTGACAGCACTTTGTTGAGGTATTTCTATAGCTATTTCTTTAAGGCATTGAACATACTTAATTCTATCAATTATTGGTGTAAGAATGTTTAATCCTGGATTTAAGATTCTATGAAACTTCCCCATTCTTTCGACAATCCATGCCTAAAAAATATAACTTTATTTATATCCAAATAAATTTCATTCAATAAAATAACAATACTAATATTTATTTAATAATTAATATTTACATACCTCTTGCTGTGGAACAAATAATATAATAGTGTTCATAGGAGTACTAGATTTAAACCTAACAAACTGTACGACCGGTAATTTAGGAACAGCATGTTCAAATCCACAAATTGGGTGATGCTTTAAACGAAATTTTGATTGTATTATAATTAAAGATATATTCTTGAAATGATTTTGAAGATATTGCGGTTACCTTTACGATTCCAAAATTACGAGCAAATTGTTTAAATTGGTAGTTCATTTTCCACTGATATGATCGAAACAACATTGTACTATAAACATAAAAGATACTTTTACGTAGCACAAATATAATAGGTTAGAGTCACACTTTTATATTAAGTATATCTAATATCATATCATCCGAAAATTTAGTAACACTAAATTAACAAAAAGTTAGATGAATATAATATTCGAATGATTGGAAAAGAAGATATTTTTATTCATAAAATATAATAAAACATGTTCATAATACAGCAGTCAAATTAAGTATAATCTGCAAAAAGCAATGAATATGAATGATGTAGTTGAAACTCATCCGAAAAGTTCTGAAAATTTTTCTTCGTTTTTTTCTTTTATATACTTAAATTTATAAATCTAAATATTTTTTTATGTAAAAGAATAAAAGAACAACAATAAAGAAATTAAAGTTCGCAGTGTGAATATGTTATTTATTTAAGACTAATTGTTCTATTAACATTCACGTTATTCTTTAAAATGAGTTATTTATTATTTAATACCTTTAATATCTTTATTATTTAATAAAGAGCAACTTAAAATGATGCGCTATATGTATATAGCTATCTTCATAAGTACGAAGTTGTGTAAAAGAACAATACCAAATATTTTTTTCATGTATGCCTTTAAACATATTTAAAAAAAAATTAAAATTTAGATACTTATAATACTTTGACATTAATTTCAGACATTTCACCGTGTAAGTAATCAATATATGATATAACCTACTGTCATAACATTGTAAACAAAAAATTAATTTTTCTTTCTATGAAGTATGACTCCAAACTTCTTCTTGATAATATTACTAATAATTTACTATTAACTTTTTTTGAAATTATATGTTCTCATAAATTTTTAACAAGTTAATATTCATTATATCTTTCAATTTTTTATACGTCATTTATAGAATAAATACCAGACAAAAAATATATTACTTGTAACTTTGAAATGCAATTCATTGTAATTAATATAATTGCCACCCATTTGTATCCAATTTTTTATTTCTCTTTTCGTCGATTGAACATATCCTCTTACGTAAATTTGGTGAATCTGAGTATATATAAACGGATCGGATGGTCTAGTTTATGTTCAGTTTAACGAAAAGAGTTAAAGGAAGATTCAATTATTTGAAAGAAAATTGATTGCTAAAATTTAACACTATGCGCCATAATTACATTATATTGATAACGCTATCTTTATTAGCCTGTACACTGGCTGAAGAATTTTATTCTGACAAATATGATTATGTCAATATCGACGAAATTCTAGAAAACGATCGTTTACGGGAACAGTACTACAAATGTTTTATGGATACAGAACCCTGCATAACTCCAGATTCAATATTTTTCAAAGGTAAATTAAAACTCTTATAAAACGATTTGATTACGTGGAAAGTAAATTTTATAGTATATTTAATTTTAAAAATGTGAATTATTGGATATGTTATTGAATTTCAAACGACTTTCATTTTTAGAACATATATCAGAAGCATTTGCAACAAAATGTAAAAAATGCACCGAAATTCAGAAGAGAAATATGGACAAGATGGCCGAATGGTATACCACAAATCAACCAGACAAATGGGATGCTTTAGTGGAATCTTTGCTAAGAAACGCAAAAAATAGTGCAAACTGAATAATTTTTGCTTATTGTATTGTAGTCATTATTAGCAATTACTGTAATATTAGCAATTACTGTTATTCCAATCAGGTAGTATGGTGGTACAAAATATTGTTATAAAATATAATCTGAATATTCGTTAGCAACCGCAATATTTTTATTTCTCTTTACTCTAATATTCATTATAATTTCTCATATTTAATTAAATTAATTAGGAATGGAAAGAAATTATACATTATATGAAAGTAATTACCTTTTATAATATCAAATCATAAAGTCGAAACTTTCAAATGGAGCAATCGAGTTTGACGTCATCTTGAATGTTTCGATATATTTCAAATTATGACGGAACTTCATGTTAGTCATTTTATATAATTTATTAGAAATCACTTAAATGATAAAACATTATCGAAGTACTAACACGCAAGATAGTGGAGAAGAGAAGATTAAAATGGTAACAAGTTATTTTCGTTTGAAATTATAACATGAAAGAAATTTAATCTAGAAGTATATTAATGAACCTAGATGAAAAACTATATACCCTGACGCGAATAAGCGCGGGAAAATATAAAATTAAAGTTGAAAATTGAATTTAGCGCAAAACAACATAAGAAATTGTATGGAAAAGTTAGGACTACAATTGGAAAAGAAATTTTAGGAGAATTGAAAATTGTTTTACGTTAAAAGAAAAGAACTTAACTTCTATTGGTTCGAATAAACGATTGTTAGCAGATTGACCAATAGGGAACGATGTTGTTCACGCGGGGAGAAATAATGCAGTGCTTGGGGAAGCAGTCTACTGTGATAATTGTGTGGCAACTAACAGTGCAGTGGAAAATATCGTGTATGTAGGTGCATGTCATTGTTCAGAAGGAAAAATTATAGTTTAATCTAAAATGTCATCTCCTACACAAGTGGTGAGCAATATTTTTTCTTATTGATTTTTGAATTCCTGTCAATTTTTCCAACGGTCCTCGTTAAATTTATACATTTTTCTTGTTATTCGCGTCTTGACAGTTCTCCGTACATGTTTGTTGTTTTCTCGTCTGTAGAGTAGTCATCGAAAGGTCTTCCTTCTTTTTCGTTATACTGCAATAGGAAAACACAGACGTCATAAATAAATATTTTATTGAACAGCTGTTTTCTTTGTTTTGAACAAGTGCTATCTTTTTTGTATAGCACATTTGCTGACTTTCGTTTTTGTTTACAGACTATTAATAACTAATGTTGGTAGTATTGCGAATCTGTTTTTACGTGTTTATTTACACTAGCTGAGAATAAAAACATAAAAAAATATGCTCATTTCATTGATTTAAAGTCAATATTATCCTTTGTGCCAGATTTTTACTATAGTATTGACATTTTAAACCTATTATCTCTTAATATAATATTGAATATAATATAGTTAGTGCAATATCCAATTGTTGTAATTATGAATTAACTTGACTTTCTTTGAAGTGAAAATTAAATATCACCATCTTGACGAAGTTAGTACAATATATTAGTAATTTAATTGACATTTAATATTATGTATATATGTAATGTTTTATTGCAATGTATTTTGATTTACGCAAAAAATAAAATCAGTCCTTGAGTATTAATTGTTTCTAATACTGTGTTTCGTTAAGGTTGTCTAACCATTTTATTAGAATTGCATCATTGAAATTTATGTCGGTTTCAATTATTTAGACACAATGCAAACTTTATATGCGTTGAAGTATTCTTTGGACTTTATTGTGATCATTGTGCTTGTCTTTCACGGATTTTAAGTCAAAACAAATATAATGATTGCACAAGGATCTGAAACAATGATTGATGAATCATTATGTTTCTATTATATACAATGGTTTATTATCTTATCTCTTGTATCTGTTTATTTTTTCTTTCTTACATTCTTTGTATTCCCTGCCAAATAAAAGTCTTAAAAGTTCATTAACCTTTTGGGGAAATATTTCATGTAACTTACTTTTTTACAGTAACAAACATCCATTACACATGCATAAATAACTTACATGCATTAACATAATTTATTTTTTTCTTAACACTATGTTTATTTAGATTTGTTCAATAATAAAACAATGTCATTAAAATAAAAAAGATACGTCATTAAATGGAACTTAACCCATTCGAAGATTATGACACATCGTGTGCGTTTAACATTATCTGTTAAATACAAGCGATGACGCACTATGTATGTTTCGGAAACAAATTGATATGGTCGGTATTTGAAAAGCTAATTAGCGAGGGTAGTATCGTACAAAAATAAAATAATAGAAAAGGTATGTACAAATTGAAATTGATATTAGCTTAATGTAAAAAGTACGTAACGTATAACCAGGCACTTGAATGGGTTAAAAAGATTAACATCAACGTTTCGGTTAAAGAAGTGTTAGTCATGTTCACGGCCGTTCATTCCATTCCAATTTTATGTTTTGTCTGTTCCAGTTAAAAAGTGTTGGCCCAAAGCTAGTCCCATTCTTTAAAAGCGTATCTGTATATTTTATATTATTGGCCGAGCAGCCATCCTTACTGACGGCATGTTTCAAGTGTTTGCCAATTATAAGTCTTATCGTCTTTGTTCTGCTACATGGAATTAGTTTATCGCAGGAGTAAGTGCAAAAGAACTTTGCATGCGCCGATCCTTTCATTTCACGCCTTTGTTTTGTAATCAACAGCACTAATCCTTTCAATTGCTTCAAATTGATTTCAACATTTAAAATTTGAAAATTGTACTGGAAAATTAAAATCTAACCGAAAATTTGCGCTACTAGCGCTCCACGCATTTTGGCGATAAATAAAACTGAAGAATAATTAACCGAAGGTAATTTATCGACTGTCATATGTCGTTTTCATTTTCAACACAGCGCAACTATTGCGGTTGTGTGTAGAAAATTATATTTATACGAGAAACGTTTAGCGGAGCGGAAGAAACGAGTTAATCGAGCCTGTGTTACATTTCCGTGGCTACTTGTAGGTGCTAGCTAGCCATTTATCATATGACCTCGCTTACACGCTTATTTTCAGGTTGCTTTTTTACCTAATCGGTAACGCACATTTTAAACGTCCCGCCAATTTTTCTTTTAACAATTTCCGCACTCCACAGATTGCGTGAAATTTTCAATCGATCTTGTAAGAGCAATTTTTCGTTGGAACAAAGAAGAGGATCGATTTATTACGAGGCAGAATATAATGTTCTCTGTCGGCCTTGTGACGTATATACCGATGGTTGTTCTTGTTTCTATATAAAGTACGAAACGTTCCGATGGAACGATCGGAAAAATATTAAACCTTCTTGTTCAACTTTATTTCTGTAATATTAAAAAAAATGTCGCTTTAAAAGTTGAACATTGATCGAAAAATGAACACGATCGAAAAAGTCACCTGAAAATGTAAGTGTAAGCTGGAATACTTTTTCATTGCTTCTATGCTTCTCTTGCTTGGAATATTAAACCATCAGCGTTGGGCATTAGTTACTTGAAATTTAATCAATTATTAATTAAGAAATTATTGAAGTGAAATGTTTATTATTTATTATTCTAAAGATTGATTACTGTGTAATATTGCCATATTATACGAACTTGATTTCAAATAAAACATGTTCTGTCCTCTTTTAATGAATGTGATGTTTTTGGTAAATGCTACCGAATATTTACAATTACTATCCATATTTTTCTTACCATAAATTATAAATATTTATGAATAAACTAAGTGATATTTATAGTTATACTGTATGTCCTTCATAAAAAGATATGTACATTATTTAATAGAAAATTACACCATCGTGAATCAATTTATTGTTATCGCTATCTTTATTCTAACATTAAAAATTGCTATTCGGCTTATAAAATTTAATATTTGAAGACCGGTATTCACAAGTGAACATCTTATTTTTCAGATATACCTTCTCCAGACGAATATTGACGGGGTTGATATTCAGTTGCATAGGAGATGCACTGTTGGTTTGGCCCAGTTGTTTTACGCTGGGGATGTGCATGTTCGCTCTAGCTCAAATTATGTACATCAGTGCATTCGGTTTTATACCGCTTAACATAATGTTAGGTACAATTTTATACGCGATGTGTTCGCTAGGTAAGTCATAAATAATTCGTACAAATTACAAAACGTTTCCATCATTAGTATCAAAACACTTAATTCTAAACGTACTAATGACCAAATGAAATAGATCTCGGAAAAACATAAAATCCTATTTTTCAGTCATATACGCTCTAATGCCTGGTCTGAATGGAATTCTGGTTATTGGAGTTCCGGTTTACACGGTGCTATTAACCACCATGGCGTGGAGGGCAATTTCTAGAGTACAATTTTACAAAGTACACAGAAAAATTAAAAAAAAAAGAAGGAAAAAAGAAAATTGTTTTGTTTACGCGGTGTTTTCCAATTTCCAAATTTTACGGATCATTTGGTTGTTTCCTGTCCCTTTATTTAATATAAAGTTAGCAGTAAATGAATTAAGTCGCATGTTTTGTTGTGTTGTGTGATAACACGATCCACTGATCCGATTAAAGGGCAAAATAAATCACGTAGAAACAGGATGGGTAGGAGATGGCCTACACCTTGACCACGTGCATCACGTACCACACATTCTTCCTTTTTCATCGTGCCGGGAGTATTGAAAGGGGGAGGAAGCTACGTGTTATAAATAAATAACAATTTAAGAAGACTTTTATTAGATTATCCAGATTAAAGGAGATATATTACTAACCTTCTAATTATGTTTATGAAAGGATTACACAATTGGAAAACACTGTCGTAGAAGATAACAACATTCCCACTATCGTTGTCCACATTCTATTGAATAAATCATATTTCTTCATCAGGAGTTATGGACGTGGACTAAATTATGCAGCTGTATCGGTAGTATATGTTTCCTCATATCTGATACCTTACTCGGATTTCACTATTTTCATACTCCACTACCTTATTCTCAGGTACAGTGATTTTGAAGTATTTTTATATAAATTTTTGCTACAATTTCTTTTGTTCATTAGTTAAGTTGCTTTTCAGGTTTCTATAATGTTAACATATTATGCAGCTCAGTTGGGAATAGCTTTGAGCGCAGTTGGTTCTAAAAATAGCAACAATAATAATAATAATGTTAGCAATGATAAAAATGACGCAGCCGTAGTGAAGGGTTAAGAAAATTTCGTCTTCTATTTATAGGCTATAAATATAAATTATATTATGCTGCTCAAAATAATTAAAACGAAACATAAGTACTATGAAAAATATCATATAATCATTATCGAAAGTTCTGTTTCTACAGTGTTAATAGTTTTCAAGATATAGATAATAATGTACTTATTTTGAGCAGTATATTATACTAGAGACCATATATTTTGAACCATTGTTTTGAAATAGGTACAATGCACTTCGTTAAAGGATTTATGGTAATCGTAAAAGTAAAGTCCTAAACACTGCCACGTTCCTAAGGCAAAAATTTTTACCTGACTATTCAGTGATTCAATATAGTCGATATTTATTGCATTTACGATCGTCTGATAAACATTAGTCATCTCCTTTTTTTCTAACGATCATGTCGAACTGAGAAAAAAGATACATAATGTTGTGAATTATTAGCGACAATCGTATAATAATATTCAACGACGATTACAGTTTCTGCGGTTACTGGCATTTTTTTTTTTTACTCTAATTTTACTCCAATTTTACTCAACATGTAATGATTATAATACTTTCACGTTTGTTTACCATAATGTCACAAACGTAGTATATTAATGGAAATAGATTTCAGTATTTTCAATTATTAACTCAAATCTAATTGGAATTTCTGGAGTATAGCGTCTATTTCACGTGCATTTTATGTATTATTCACGACATACGTTATGAACCAAAATACATTTCTTTGTACAGTAGCAAATAAAAATGTTAAATGTTTCATGAATAGTTAAATGTTAGTTAAAAATGTACAGATAGAACGATATAGATTATAAAAAATGAAATTCTTAGCGCGTTCGGTACTATCGTCTCGTTTTGAATGATATTAAAGAAAAAGAAACAGTTATTTAAAAATTTTTAAATGTAAACAATTTTTTACAAATATTCTTGCAGTTCAATTTCTACCAGTAAAGTTGACATTACGTAAATTTATATAGCTAATCGTATATTATTTTATTATTGCATTTACCGATATTACTATAGGTATTAGACAATAGTATTGCATTTATTCCATGTACTATAGATACCAAGTGAAACATTGATTCGAATAATTAAAATATTATTTTTTCAAAAAAAAAAAAAAGAAAAAAGAGAAAAAAATGAAAAAGGAAGGAAAAGAAAACAAAAAACTATCTTTTGTATCTATGTGAAGGAAAAGTTTGATTTTCCTTCGAGATTATGCAGTTTATATTTTAGAAACTGTAATAATTGACTAGTACACGTTCACGCGTAGATCTCGATGACATATCACTTAATCTTAATGATTGAACTGTAAAAAGAACCTGAATTCTTTAGCATGTATAATTAGAGCTGAATAAAAATGAACTTGAAAAAAAAAATAAGTAATTCAAAATAAGAACATTGAAGCATAAATGTTTTTTGTTAAAATTGAAAAACTAAAGTCGACATTTACTATTTTTTAACTAAAACTTCATTAGATTCAGCTCTTTGATATATATTGTAAAATGATATATTTAATGTATTTTAATACAAGAATATGTATGAAAATATATAGCATAATAGTGTCTCATGAAATACATTTAAGATGCATGTATTTCAGAAATAAAACTTTCGTAGAAATGTGATATTAAATATTTTAGTAAATACTTTCTAGGTGTACTTTCTTGAAATTAATGAATTGCTAGTCTTTATAAAACTGGCGTTAAAAATATTACGAACAATGTTACGAAAGTTATACTCTGAATAATAGTTTCAATTTAATTCTTAGATTAAAACACACGAATATGTAAATTTAAATTGTATTTTTTACATGATTAAAGTTTTGTTAATTCAAATAATAATATCTTTAATTTTTATTTTATTATAGAATAATTCTGCATTAATACATATTATTGTAAAACTAAAGTTTCTGCACCTCCCCGTCGTACAACAATTCCATTCGATTGTTTACTTTCTTCAGCGGATTGTATTTTACATTTGAACACTCTAAAAATAATACTTTTACACGTCTCTTTCAAAATGTCTATTTTGTAAAACATAATACTTCAATTTCTACTCACGTTAATATGTCATTCCACATCTGTGTTTGCTTTTCACCTATTGCGATAATTTCGTTCAAACGTTCTTTTTCTACCATTAAATTTTTAATTTTTATTTCTTCCATTTGAATGGTGGAATGTAATTCTTCTTTCATCTTTTTGCCAGGATCAGAAATTGTCGGATCCTGTATATTATTTAACTTACATATACGAAAAATTAATTAATTTAAAAAAGAAAAAGAAAATTTAATAAACCTGCATATCTCGCTTTATTCTTTCTTCCATAGTCTTCATTTTAGCTATAAGTTTTTGCAGTTTTTTCTTCTCTTCAATGTCCTTTCAATTAATTAATAAAAAGTGTTAAATAAAAATATTTAATACAATAGGTATTATAATTACCTTTTCTACTTTTATTTTTTCATTCTGTATGTTAGATTGTAAATTATTAATCGAGGTATTCATGCTTGATTCTACTTCATTTTGCGCCTTTTTTGCTTTTTCCTGTTGTTGTTCGTATTCACTATATTTTTGTCTCAATGTTTGTATTTCTGTAATATTAAAACTTGTGAAGTATTAATTTACTATCATATCTTGTTAAACATATATTTATACCATTTATTAATGGAATGAGTTTTGCTCTAAAAGTGGATATATCTCGGCATAATTGAAGATTTATCGAAGACGCATTTTCCTCTGTAAAATTATCCGGAGCATTTTTCTTTACCATTTCCAATCTTTCTTTGGCCTGGTTACACTGGTTGCGCTAATAGAAGTAATTGTTATCAAAATCCAAATTAATAAACAGTACTTAAAGAAATACCTGATTTTCCAAGATGGCAGCTGTTCGATATAGCACACTATTTTCTGCATTAAGCCACGTTAATTCAGATTTACAATGTTTATAAAGCGTTCCTCTAGTTTTTAGACGATTTATGTACTTTTTTAATTCCTCTCCTTTTGGTATAATATCTTCCATTATCAATTTTGATAATTCACGTTTCTCTTCTAATTTTGTCTGCAATTCTTGTAAGGAATTTGCTGTCTTCTCCAATTTTTCAAGTACATTTCTTTTGATATTTGCAACTGCGGCTGCTTGTTGTCGAAACGGTTCAATTTTGTCAATATTATTTTTCGAAATCTAAATAAATTTTATAAATTGTAAATTCATCGAAGATGAACAATAACGTGCCGTAAAATCGAGGATTACCTTGAGCTCAATCAAGTTCTGAATCTCTTTAGCTATACTGTCCAATTTATTTCGCAAATCTGTTATTTGGTCTGGACCCAGATATGAATATTGTTTTACAGCATTCAGAGCTTTTATACGATTTTGCTTTCCATGTATCTCTGCTGGTAGTTTCTCATTCGTGACTACAGTTTGAACAGTGATCACTTCGGATAAATGTTGCAATAACGTCTGAACTGTAACTTCATTTTCATCTTTTTCCAAGATTTGTAATTCTTTTTCCAATCTTTGTAAGTTTGTCTATAATTTTTATTCGTTATAAAATGTCTGCTGAAATGAATTTGTCTAAATCTTAAGTTTGTTAATCAGTAAGTATCTCTACTTGTAATCTAGATATTATTTCCCTTTGTTGTTCCTCTTGCAGCACAAGATCGCGTTCCTTATCTTTTTCTATTCGCAAAGCTCGAGCAGAATCCAACAGGTACATTCCAATTTCAGCTTTAGTTCTCATTTTTTCGATACGCATAGTTACTGCCTGGATCAATACAAAATTAAATTGCCTTTCAGATAAGGAAGAACGAATTAAAATGTACAATTAAGTATACTCCACTTCTTTCTCCTTTTCCATCGTTTTCAAATCGGTAGTAAGCTCACTAGCGTTCTCGAAATTCTAGGTTCGTGAAAACAGAATAGGAACAAAATTTTAGTTGATAAAGAATGAATCGAGTAATGCTAGCACGATCTTTTACCTTCCTTCCTATTTCCCTTTCTTTGTGCACTGTTTTGAACCTATCGATCAAAGCTGCGTACTGTTCGTGCAAAGAAGAAATCTCCGGATCGCTTAAATACTCACCAGGAACTTCTACCTAATTAACGATAATGGAAAAGTTTCATAAAAATAATTTTAATGGAACGAGATGGACATTTCTATAACCATATGTATACCTTCACTAAAAACCGAGATAAGTAAGCTCTCTTTCGAACAGTATCTTCATGAGACAAAAGCCAGGTCAAGATAGGATGTATGGTATCAGGATCTCCGCGAATCAGACCCTGTCTGCATATGTACGAAAGAGCATGAGTAAAAATAATTAGTAATGAATTAATTTAAATGAAAAGAAAAGATTCTTGCCTAAAGCTCACAGGATCTATTTGTGGCTGATAGTGAAGCACACGGAGAATGGACAGAATATAAATGGAAGTTTCCTCAGGAGTTTCGTTCTTCGTATCAACATTAGCATCAACATTCTGAATTTGTATTTTGATCAATACCCCTTTCAATACCTACAATATAATTTCCATAAAGAAACAAATTTGATGTGGTATAATTTCAGCTTATTTGAAGACTAAACTTGAATAAATTAGAGAAAAGTAGAAGCATTAAATTCTTACATGGAGCAATTCTTCTGGACTCAGGGAATTGAAATAAATTACGTTATAATTACGACCCAGTAGCTTATTCACTTGTGCCACAATAAATTTAGTGTTCTCTTTCATTATGTCACGACACTTTCCTTCTTTTCTCAAGTTCTTGAACGCTACTCAAACTTGAGAATAACTGGAGGATTATTTTGTTGTCGCAAGCCGTCGTCCTAGCAACTATGTTATACTATCTCCCTCCTTCTGAAAGTATGCAAAACTTTACGTGGAACGCGGTAGAATTCTCTTTATACGATAGACTTCAATCAACTGTAGTTTTTCTATTGACATTTTGTTCAAAATTAGTCGCTAATTATATCTGGTGTACGACCTAACATTTGGTGACTCTCAAAAGGTCATTTAATTTTCAACTTGATGTAATGTCTAATGCACCTTGCATGCATATCGATATCGATTTTATCTAGCTTAATAGATACAACGCATTAATCATAATTTAATATGCAGATATCTCGATTTAGGAAAGAATATAAAATTATTACAATTAATTGGGAATATATACTACAAAATGTAGGATAATTTAAAGACTAAATCTACATATAGAAAACTAATTATAATTAGAAAGTTATGTTTATTTTAAGAATTTTTATTAATGCTAGTTCTTTTCCATGGTAAATAAAATATCAGATAGAATACTGAATATGGTTTAAGAATTATAATTGGCTTTATTAAAAAGAAACTTATTGAGATATAAGATCATAATTAGCAGACAATGACAGAGATAGCATTGTCTTGTTTTCCTTTTTTAATATATTTTCAAACATAACGTATGATTTTTCTTTCTTATCATATAAAATTGCAGTGCATTCAATTTCTTCTTTTTTCTTAAATAATCACGCAGTTTTGATATGAAAAAACTTGAGAATTGGTTCATGAATTCACTCCACATTTAATAACACAGTCAATATATATATATATATATTTCATTATATGTATATATATATATATTTGAAATTTTATGGAAATTCCTAGTTCAGCAGTGTGTGGATTGATCTGAGCATAGTTTGTTTCACTGTACTACACTAAACTTTAAATTTCCTAATTAAAACACTTCAACACTAAATAGTGTGTCAGTTTTCATGTATTCTTTACAGATGCCACTAGAACAATTCTTTATTCGCTTCTGTGCGTTAACATGTAAAAGAGAAAATATACATTAAATATCACCAAAAGGAAATGTTCACTGGACAGTTAGCTAGAATATGATTAAAAGTGTAATTAGTTTTGTTTCGCTTCTGCTTTTCTAGATGTTAATTTAGTGTTAAAGGGCAACATTTCTGTTAAACTCTTACAATAATATTGTGTATTATTATAAAAATGGCTCGTGAAGTCTTATAAAAAGAACCATGCAAGTCATATATTTGTGATGATGTTTAATAATCAGTCTAAAATTTGAACAATGTAGCAACGTTGTGATAATCAAATACTGCATGAAAAATCGTTTGAAGATTGCACTATATATAAATAGTATAATATATATATGTATAATCTATATTTTATTATATATATATAAGTACCGTAATATTGGGTATTGGGTGTTACATAAAGGATAGAATTTAATGAGCTGAATATCTTTTTTCAAAAACAAAAATAAAATATACACAAAAAAAAAAAAAGAAAAAAATAGAAACGAAAATAATTCCCTAAGTGCATATTGTCTTAAAAACAATACATTCGCAAAATTCCATGTGCATAATATAAAAAACTAAAATTATGACTGATTTGATTTAGATATTATGTAACATCTTACTTAGCAGTGTTTGAATTTGAATAATCGTTTTGTTCAAATTCATGATTAACGAGACGCGTATCGATAAGTAAACTTTCTCTCATCAGCCTCCAATCTTTGAATTTTTACAGAAGTGTCATAGAATTCAAACAAATCAAAGTTCATTTTGTAACCGTTTTTTGTTTACACAACATCACAGAATAAAGGGACAATTTACAACATTATGTAAAATAATAATGATTGCAGCAATCAATCAAGGTTTAGCTTACATTCATTATTGATAACTACTGGATACAGTTCTTTCAAGCATAGTAAGATAATAAAAATCATACATGAATTTGTATGAATGTTACATTATACTTAGGTGCACTTAGTGTATTGAACACTAAAAATTTATTAATTTAAAATCACCAGTACTGAACTCAACCTCGCATTATATATACCTAATATAAAACAAGAACACAACAAATTTTCTGGCATACACAATACATTTTAACATGTAAGATTGTATGTCAATTGGTTTCTTTCACTTTTTTCGTTTTCTTCTCATTCAGTTAATCATCTCCCTACCCTTTTTTTCCATAACTTCTACAGAATTTTTTGTCATTGTCTTATCTCCTGAGATAAGTAAAACAGTAAAGTCAATAGTACCGATGATTGTTATATACTTTTTTGTTTAACTGGGAGTGCATGTTTTGTTTGAAAAACAAATTTCCATTATACACAGTATTGTAATTTTTCTTACAGACGGTGACGTGATTTAAGGTATTTCCATGTAGCGTGTGTGAAGGGAGGAAGAAGGGATGGTGATTACAGAATAGACTCCAATTTATCCACTCTTGAAGAGGAGAATTGCTACCTGACCCAGGTAAAAATAGATAAAATGTCTTGTTTCATGTGTCACATAGCTTCCAAAGTTGCGACCTACGATGCAATGCCACGTTGGATTGTACTTTTTATCAAATTCTTTCTTAATAAAGGCTGCAATGTCCTGGAATAAAAAAATGCAATTAATGCGTTAATAATCTTCTATTATCTTTGGAATTTATTTTCATTTTATTGTATTTCATTAGTATTACATTTAAACAAATTATTTCACCAACTGATTTATGTTTAGATCCAGACATGTGTACCATTTCTTATCATAAACACAATATTTGTAATGGCATTCTACTGCAACTCTAAACGTACCTTTTCTATATTGAACTTTTCAAGAGCTTGGGTTGCACAGTCAACAGCATCCTGCTGCATCTCCTCAGACATATCAGCATTCTTGATTACAGCCTTTCTGTCTGACATTTTCGTGTCGCTAGAATACATACGAGAAAAGATGTGAAATACTTTTCGTACGTTAAATAATGTTATTGCATTTGACAGAACATTCAGTTCAAAAATATTATTACTAAAAGGCAACCATGCTTTTTTTTCTCCTCACATCGAAGGAAGATATTGCGTATCGAGAAACTATAATTTAAACCTGGAAAAACGAATGCGCGCAATTTTGACAGTAGCGTATATGTCATTTGCCGGCATGACAATCTATTGAGCTATTGTTAGAAAATCAGGAAGATGATCAGGCATGCTTAAAAAGCGTGATACAAATAATTGCGGAGAATAGAGCTGAGGAGGCGAAACGCGGGAGGATGATGTTTTGTCGATATGCGACGATGAGAATAATAATTCGTTTACACGCAATCACCGTAACCAGGCCATATTAACGGCGCTCATTTGAAAATTACCTCAGCGCCAAGAAGAATGATATTATGAAAGAACCAAAACTGACTGACATTAAGAGCTGTTTCCGGTTGAAAATAAAAAACTACATTTTCATTTGTATAACACACGATATACCTTTTGAAATAACTCTCTCACCAACTAATACACAAGAAAACGATCGTTATGTTCTGGTCCGGCAGTTATATGTACTTATTTTTTTCTATATGAACCGATTTACTCAAAAATTTTGTTCGCTCAAGCCGACTGCGACTATTCCTCGATTGAGTTCAAGACTGAAGTGCCCGTACTGTGATCCTGCCCACTGATTGGCTCGCGATTAGGGTCTTCTATCACGGTCTTCTATCAACCCAGAATGCCTTGCTGGTAGCAACCCGCGTAAACATAAATTCGAGTAATCGATATGAAATTTTTCCTCGAAATTCGAGCCGCAATGATATTTCTTTATTTTCTATCATTTAAATTTCCACTGTTTTGCATAAAACATTAAACAAAAGAAACCGCATGCATTGAAACATATTTTAAATCGCCAATTTAAATTCAAATAGGTTATATACATTTTACGTTATTTTAAGCTCTCGCGATATATTTCAAAATATTACTGAGGATATGTTCTGTATGCAAGAATATTATAATTATCTTCACAAAGCTAAATTATATAGATAGTTTACAAATCAATTTCACTAATATTAATAAGTCTCTTTGTAAACATAACTATTTATTTTTACCATTTGCTTTCTACTACATACGAATGGAAAATATATAAAATTTCTGATCTGTATACATGATCAATTTAAATATTTTTAATGATCTTATGGATGTAAAAATGACTTGATTTCATACTTATAGTATATGTGTAGATATAAAATAATATTATGTCTTTTAATTTTACTTATTTTACATTAAATTTTATAATTAGGTACAGTACAAGATGGCGTGTGATGAAGTTATTTCATATATTCACTCATAGCGATACTTTTTGCCTATGCATATCACTTCTGTATGGTTCTTTGTACAATGGCACGGTATATATATATATACCCAAGTGTTTAATCAGCTGACTGTGACCACAATAGCGTAGCTAGAACTTAACGGAATTTTTAAATTTCAAATTTTTTCTAATGTTACTCTTAAATGAATACTGATAAAAATTATTATTAAGAAGTATTTGTTGTTAATATATATAAAATTTCAGGTAACAAATATAATTATTTTTCTATTATATTTTAAATTGTTTTAGGTACCATTATTATTAATGTTTCGGTACAGGCATGTTGACCTATGTTACACATGCGCAGTAAGTTCCAATACTCTCGGAGAATCCTTTATTAGAGAGACTTTCTTTCTGTGCTCCATCAGTATTGTGTCTGACATTTGTGTTGTGCAGAATATAGTAAGTTTGAAAAAAAGAAACTTTGTTTCCTAAGCGTTTTATAGAATAGAATTTTAAAGCTTCTTATTTTAAACAGGATTGGAAACTTGTTTGAAAATGTTTGGCCCAGCCTTGTGCTTTTGCGCTTTCATAGCGCTAGCCACTGCTAATGTTCAAAGGTAAATATAATAAATTATTTAAACAAAAAATATAATTATTAATTTTTTATAATTAGTTTAATTATTGCATTTTATGTGATGTTTTATTAAGATATATAATAACAAACTATGTAAACAATTGTTATTTGATACTTAATCGTGAATTACGCGATAAAATCTATTTGTAACTTTTTTTCTTTTAAGGATTCCTTTGCATAAGATGGATAGCGTTAGGAAACAGCTTAAAGAGTATAACACAGAAGTATATCAGGCACATTTAGTGCAAGGAAATGTTCAGCCAGAACCACTTTCCAACTACCTCGATGCTCAATACTATGGTGTTATCAGCATTGGTACCCCTGCACAGGATTTCAGAGTGATCTTTGATACTGGCTCATCAAATCTCTGGGTTCCTTCCAAGAAATGTCATTTAATCAACATTGCTTGCAGTGAGTATATTTTAGAAAATTATAGAATCTTTAGTATCCTATATGTCAAACTTTTCCTGAATACTTTGTTTTTAATTACTTATTTTCAAGCTTTATGTGACCTTTGCTATATGATAAGTTATAACTTAATACTGTGATATATGGCTTATAAAACTGAAATTTTTATTTATTTGTCACAAAATGATAAAAGAAATAAAAGGATAAAGAAAAATATAAATAAATGAGAAGAAACAAAAAAGGAGATGTTGCTTTATAAAAGAGTACGATTTTTATAGAATTTTGTTTGTGATAGTTACTATTTATATTAGTAGTCACAATAAGTAATAATAATTACATACAATAAATAATTTTTATTTATTTAATACTGTTAAATATATTTAGAAAAAGTAGATATGATTACATTGTAACTACACTGTGTTAATTTAAAGTTATGGTAAAGTTTAAAAATTCATTGTATTATCATTATCATATCATCATATTGTCAAAATATTATCATTATCAGAAAATAAATTAAAGAAAAAAAGATTATTTAATTTAACATAATTAGTATGTATTCTTTCCAGAATTGCATCATAAATATGATAACAGAAAATCATCCACATACAAGCAGAATGGCACTGATTTTGCTATCCATTATGGTTCTGGAAGTCTCTCTGGCTATCTGTCTACTGATGTTGTGAACGTAAGTATTTGTATGCACATAACTTGTATTTCTACAACTTTTAACTTTTCTTTCTATGATCTTCTGTCCATTGTTTAGAAATAATGAAAAAATATATAAATGTAAAAAGTATAAAAAGTATTATTATATTATTTGTATTGTATTTATAATTATATTAAGAAAAAATTATTAAGAAAACAAACTAAATGTATTTAATGTAGGTTGCTGGACTACAAGTCGTTGATCAGACTTTTGCTGAAGCTTTGAGTGAACCAGGATTGTCCTTTGTTGCTGCTAAATTTGATGGTATTTTGGGAATGGGCTACTCTACAATTGCTGTTGATGGTGTAACACCTGTCTTCTACAATATGTTTAAACAAGGATTAATATCTCAGCCTGTTTTCAGTTTTTACTTGAACAGGTACCTTGAAATGACTAAGAGTTACTCGAAGTATAAAAGATAAAAAATAGATAAAAATGTATTAATTTATTAATTTAAGAAATCCTGATGCTGAAGTTGGCGGAGAGTTGATCTTGGGTGGTTCAGATCCAGATCATTATGAAGGTTCATTTACCTATGTTCCAGTGGACAAGAAAGGATACTGGCAATTCAGAATGGATGGGTATTTATTAAATTTGTGGGAACAAATTTTACAATAATAAAATAATATTTAATTCATGATAAAATATGAATTTTAGCGTTCAAATTGGATCAGATTTGAAAGTTTGTCAACAAGGATGTGAAGCTATTGCTGATACAGGCACTTCCCTCATTGCTGGCCCAGTTGAAGAAGTTAATGCTATCAATAAAGCAATTGGAGCTACTCCCATTGCAGCTGGAGAAGCAATGATAGATTGCAATTCCATTCCTGACTTACCAACAATCACTTTCGTACTCGGTGGCCAATCTTTCCCTCTAAGAGGAGAAGACTATGTCATGAAAGTAAGATAAACGATATCCCTGGATCTTATTAATGAAACATTACAAATCAATAAAAATTTCATCTTCAATATGATAAAATAATGTTTCTGTTTTATCAAAGGTTACACAGTTTGGACAGACCGCTTGTCTCAGTGGATTCATGGGAATGGATATTGCTCCACCAAACGGCCCACTTTGGATTTTGGGAGACGTTTTCATTGGTCCCTACTATACGGAATTTGACATGGCCAATAACCGTGTTGGCTTTGCCAAAACAAAGTAGATTAACGAAATATGCTAATAAAATTTCTAAATTATGTATTTTTTTCTTTATATATTCGTTTTAGATTAATGTTATATTTGTACATCTCCTGTAATTTCTTTTAATAATATTTTTTATGCTTTTCACGCAATCCGTATGTATAGTAGTCTTGCGAATAAAAGTAAATATAACGAATGCGTTGTAACAAATGTATGCAATAATATTCTATAATGTGATGTACAATATATTACTAAGACGAAAATAATAATTTTTTTCATGTTACATCTTGTGTTATTCTTTTCGTTTATAAATGACTAACAGTTACCACCTTTTAATGATATTAAATATTATAATTAAAATTCAGGTAACAAATTTTAGCTATTGTAAATTATTAATGTGTATCACATTTTTACATAATACTATAAAATAAATTAATTTCTGATATATAATGGTATGTTGTACAAAGTACAAAATTCAATCTGTGAATAGTAAAATATGTTACTTATTATTGTCTTTTTCTTTTTACCGCGTGAACTGCGTAATTTATTGCTGTCGAAGTCATCCAAAACCATTCATTTTTTAGAGGGTTGTAAAACATTCCATGAATCAATTTTGTCTTGCAACCATCTGCAAAACAATCGATTAATAAAAGTTAAAAATAAAATTACTTAATTAGTGCCATTATTATAAAAAGAAAGTACATAGTTCTAATAGAGACTGAATTTC